CAAGGTGGGAAGCCGGGTCTCGACTAGTGGGGCGTGGGGAGCTGATGCTTAGTACCTAGTACTTGTGGAAAGGGACCGAGTACCTGCGCGGAAAGGGACTGAGTATTCAGGGAACGGGAACGGTGGATGCTCAGGTAGCGCGTCCCGGGCTTGGCTCCGCAGCCAGTGCTTTGTCCTCTTGTGAGTGGGGAGAACGGGGACTTCAGCACTGTCCATGGATTCTGAACACAATCCTGTGAAGAAACCGAAGATTGCTTCAGATTCGGCTTATGAAGCTCATCTGAGTGCCAGTCTTCGGACCGCTCAGGCATCTATCTTTAGAATGCCGTGGGAGCTTCCTGACAACCAACAGCATCTTTTGGATTTTCAGGTTCCCTCTGGAAAGGGACCTTTGCCATTGGTTCCTTTGAAAGGTGGCGAGCAGCCTGTTGAACAACCTGAACCTGCTGTCAGTTTTTCTTCAAGGTTTTCTAGGGTGCGTCATGATTTATCATGGGAAGCGAAGACTGAGAAGAGGATGGTAGCAGCTGTTCGCAAGTGGACTGCTGTTATCATGAGGTGCCCGCAAGAGTTTGATGTGGGCCGCAGGGTAACGCCAACTACGGCTGCACCGGTGGGAGTGCAGGTGTCACGTTCTCTACGTCATGTATTCGCGGGCAGGTCTGCTGGAGACCTTACACAGCCGAGCGGACCCTCTTATCAGGTACATTGCTTGGGCCGACAGGCAGGTCGTCGCGGCATTTCCATTTTCAGAAGAAAGCCTCTATGCCTTTGCTTGTGAATGCGAGGGCAAATGTGCACCCAGCTTCCTCAAGAGTTTGATGAGCAGCATTAGTTTTTGCTTTCACATCCTCGGAGCTGGCAGTGCTCAGGAGGCCATGAACAGCAAGCGCTTGGTGGGGGTGGCAAAGGCTTGCTACCTCACCAAGCGAAAGAGGTTTCAGCGGCCCCCGCTTACCACAGAGATGGTGCTTCGTCTTGAGAGGTTGGTCGTTTCTTCCAGTGGTGACAGGGTTGATCGTTTCATAGCAGGATTTTTCTTGCTGTCAGTGTATATGCGGGGTCGGTACTCCGACACGCAGAACATGTGCAACATTTTCGAGGATCGCCCCAGTCCTGATCCCACTGGTCTTGGAGGATATTTGCAAGCCGATGTGGCTAGGTCTAAGACTGCTTACACGACGGAACGAAAGACCCAGCTGCTGCCCATGGTGGCACCCAGGCATGGATTGTCAGATGAGGATTGGTTCACTGCTTGGTCACAGGTCCGCAAGGATCTTAAGGTACCCATTGGTGAGGGCAAGCCCGTGCTCCCGGCAATTTTGACGACAGGTCATTGGGCGGGCCACCCGCCTAGTGCGTCGGTGGCGGCAGGCTGGCTTCGCAGCCTCCTTAGGAAGTGCGGGTTCTCCGAGCTGCAATGTTCTCGAGTCGGCACGCATTCCTGCAAAGCCACTTGTTTGTCGTGGTGTGCCCGCTTCGGAATCGACAGCTACGATCAGAGAGTCCTCGGATTTCACACGGCTCCAGGCGACAGGAGCGCTCAGGTATACAGCAGAGATGCCGTGTCCTCCTCAGTCCGTGTCTTAGAGGGCGTGCTGTCGCGGATAAGGAAGCTGGAGTTCGCTCCAGACAACACACGGTCGGGATATTTTCCTACTGTGGATGATGCTGACGCCGGTTATGATGTCGAGGGATCGGGCTCAGAGGCTTCGCTTGATGAGGAGGAGGACGAGGCCGATTGTGAGCAGTTGGAGATAGCCTTGGACAGTGTCGCGGACGATTGGGCCGAGGAGACGCCTAAGAGGCCGCTGAGGGCTGAACAGCTTGTTCGGAATCGTGCATCTCGGATGCTGCATGTCATTGCCGATGAGAGTGGCAACGTTTTGACATGTGGGAGGGCTTGCACCAGGAACTACGAGAAGGTCGCGGCCGTGCCGTCTTTCTTGTATCCAGTGTGCAGTCGATGCTTTGCGGTGGTGCAGCGGGATCCTGAAGGATCTCCAAAGGCTGCCCCGTCACAGCCGCCTGAGGGAGATTGATCGCGGAACTTGACACTCGAGTGGATTCGAGTACGTGACTGAGGCTGGTGTGCCACTCGTGGCCCTGGCTGTTGTGCCCGGTCGGTGTGCTCTGCCCCGAGCCCCTAGATAACTGCAGGTGTGCCGTACGGCCCCGCGCATTGCCTGCAGAAGGGTTGGTGTGTCTGTGTGACCCCGCTTCCTGCATTTTGGTGACGTGAGCTGGAACACGCGAGGAGTCGGAAGCGGTGTGCCATTGTGTGGCCCTGCTAGGTCTCGGTATTGATGTGTTTGCGCATACTTCACAGTGTGTGGCGACGGATACCATGGTGTTTCAGCTCCCGTGAGCGCGGTGTGCATTGGCCCCGCGAGTATAGGGTTTTCGGCGAGATGATGTGATCCGTCGGCGAGACAAATGAGAGTGCATGTTAGCAGTGCGAGGTCAAGGGTATGAGGGTCCACCAATGGCCGTTTTGCTGGGTTTTTGCTCATTTGGACCCTACTGTAGACCCTGCCAAAGGGGAAATTGTATTTTCCTCTTAGGCAGGGTATACAGTCTCTTCTAGGCAGGGTCTACAGTCTTTGGCAGACTTACCCGGTGGCCATTCATAGTCAAGGGTGTGCATACTTGCTGACGTGAGGATCTCTTTTGCAGCTGAACAATCCATAGGTGGATCGAGTTGCAGCGAGCTGGCTCAAGCTGACATCATGAGTATCACTGAGAGCGTTGCGAACTTCAGTGCGAGGGCACAGAAGCTGGGGCTTTCAGATGAGGTGTTGCAACTTGTCATTGACGGCGGTGTTGACACGCTCGCTAAGTTTGCATATGTCAGCAGTTTCATCCCTGGCCAGAGCGACGAGACTCCCTTCGTTACAGCTTTGAAGGCGTTGCTTAAGAGGGATGCCACCGTAGGCGAGCTGTCAGTCTTCCGACGACTTCATTCCGAATCGTATGCCTTGGTAGCCGCTGAACTTAAGTCCCAGGTTGAACGGACCACTGATGCACCGGCACGCAGCCTCGCTGCTCCCGACCGAGCTGATCGCCTAGCTCGCCAGGTGCGCAAGTATCCAGGGCTGACCATAGCCGGGCCCAATGAGCCCAGTGACAGGTCAGTGGACAGATGTTGTCAGATGTACGAAAATAACCGATTGAGCTACATGCCTCTCAGCTGGTGCATGAGCAAGGACGATGAGACTCGCAATTCCCGTGACAAGGAGGATCGCACACTCACTGTTGACAACAGTGGAAATGTTCACATAAAGAATGCCGACATACGGGGCGAGGCTGATTTGAGCACCGACTTGTTGCTTAAGTTTGCATTGACGCGAAGAGGACTGGCTCTTGAGCAGGCCGGTTTGTTGGACTTCAAGGAACATGAGAAATGGGCTGAGAGATTGCTGCACTCTAGGTATCGTGAGGTGCCAACTGGGTATACCAGGGTCAGCATTCAGCAAGTGTTGCAAGCGGACAAACAGCTTTTTGTCGTTGCGGCCAATGAGTGTCGCGGCGGTGTGCAGGTTACTGCTGCTGGTAGGCCACTTGATCTTGTTTGGATGAGATGCGCGGACATGTCAGAAGTGGCTCACCTTTTGGCTCCTCTCGCCGCCCCACTTCCTAAGGCCCCAGGCATTGAACGACCGGCTCCGTATCGAACCAATCGCGGGCGGGGCGGCAAGGGTGGTGATAAGGGCAAACAAAGGCGTGAGGTGCGCATGCCTGAGGATTTGAAAGATGGACACTCTTGCACTCCCAAGGGTGTGCCGATTTGCTTTGATGCCCAGCGCGGCAAGTGCACAAGGCAGCTGACAGGAAACAAGTGCTTCCGTGGTGCCCACATTTGTTGCTTGTGCTTCCAGCCGGGTCACTTCTATCCGAATTGCCCTAAGCGCAAGAGTGAGTGACTAGGACCCGAGAGTCCTGGTGGCAACTTGGCATGTGAGAGTGATGCATGTGTTTCACGGGTTGATGAGCACGTTGACGGGGTGGCTTGTGAAGTCGAGTCCATCAGCGATGAAAGTGTTCATCACGAATTTGAGGGCTCGGTTGAGGACCGGGCTTATGAACTGTTACAGCAGGACTGTTTGGTGTCACAATCTGACTTGGCAGCTATCTTTTCTTCTTTGCCACATGAAACACCTGTGCGGGCCAGTGGAGGTGACTGCGCGTCATTTTCAACAGGGGCCTTCTGCAGGGTCAAGGTGGGGTTGCGGACTAACACGTCCAAATTCCCTCGGGTTAGCCAACTGGCGGCCCGCTTCGTAAGACAACAAATACCGAACTTCCGATTTACTAGCATTGTGCTGTTCCGTGATGTCAAGACTGAGCCACATGTTGATGCTCAGAACTCCTTCTTGCCTAATGCTGTCTGCGCCCTGACTGACTTCAAGGATGGTCAGGTCTGGGTAGAGAAGGAGGGCGGCGACAGTGTGTTTGAAGTCGATGGCAATTTGCGGCGTGGCGTTGATCTCAGCCTCACCGGGTCACATGCCGTCTTCTCTGCTCGGCGTCTTGTGCATGCCACTAGACAGTGGTCTGGTAGCCGTCTTGTGTTGGTAGCGTTCTCTATTTCAGCCGTGCATGAACTGAGTGCCGATCACTTGGAGACCCTGCGCCAGCTTGAATTTCAGGTACCATCCCAAGCCGAAGTCTTGCGTGCGGCACAAACACCACCTGTTTGTTATAATGTGCCCGTGGTTTGTGATGCTGCGGCGACTGCAACTGATGAGTTTCCTAAAGCAGGTCAAGCGCTTCCATCGACTGTGCCGATGCAAGTTGATTCGCAGGGTTCTGGTTTGGGTAGCAAGGGGTCGTCAGGACACCAGCCACGTGAACCAGGCCTCATGCTTGAATTGTTCGCCAGGGCCGGGGCTTTGTCGCGGTCATTTCATCAACTTGGCTTCGAGGTCTTGCCAGTCGACAAAGGTGCTCACCGTTTACCGTTGTCAAAATTGTGCTCCTTGGATCTTGCGGTCAACAGTTCCTGGCAGTACTTGACTCACGTACTTGGATCAGTTCCCTGTGCGGTACATCCATGTTGAGTTGCCGTATGCTACCTTCGGTCCCAAACAAGGCATGCGCAAACTTGTTTCAGGAAACCCCGTGCATTCTGAGAGTGATGACATCTTGCGTGGGCAAAGGTTGGCGTTGGCTGACTCTCTCGTGTCTCATGTGGCTGCATTCCTACAACTTGCAACGTCGAAGGGCATCTTATGGACGTTGGAACACCCCCACTCCAGTTTCTTGTGGAGCATGCCCAGCATTCGCCGTTTGCAGAGCGATGCAACCACCTGTGTAGTGTACGACTTGTGCAATTTTGGCACCCCTCATCGCCTAAGGCGCCAGTTCCTCACTTCTTGTGAGGGCCTTGCTTCTTTGAACCAAGTGTGCCATGGCAATCACGTGCATTTGCCCGTCACTTCAGGTGTGGATTCTCATCCTCGCTCGCTGTGCCAACTCGTTGCCACCGCCGTGGCTAAGCAGTTGGGTGTGGATGCGGAGGCTCCTGGTGTTCAGACTTCGCCGCCCCCTGTAGCGCAACAGCGTCGCGGCAAAGCACCGGCCAATCTCATTCCTGAGTTTGGTCTTGTGAAGCAGTGTGTTGCGGCCTCCGTGCCCGAAGTTGATCATAAAAGGTGCCTGGTCCACAATCTTGGTGACATACCTTCCGGTTCTAAGCTCATTGCTGCTACAAAAGTGGGGGACTCGGGCAGCTTCGAACTTAAGATAGGTGTGTATGCAAAACCTGAGGACTTTGTTGAGAAGGCTCGCCATCTTCGTCACCCGTTTGAGTCCTTTAGTGTTGTCCCCGATGTTGTTAAGCGTAAGCT